GGCCTGTATCTCGCGATGCAGGTAACGATTTACAGGTCGACGATTCAGCTTGCTAGGACATCTCGTATCAGCTATTAGTGAGCCCCAGTCTTTCGGGGCCTTATCTCTCTTTTGTTTTAGTCATTATAGTATTTCAGTTAATAAGGTATACCGGGGACCTTGTCCCGGTAAACAGTTGGCGTTTTCAGTATTCTTTAGAGGCTTCGTAGACTATAACCCAGTCAGTCAGATATTAGCAGGCTTTCATGTGTTAGCCTTGTCGGCTACTTGTTTATACTTGCAGACCTTCAGTATTTTTCCGCATCTATGATATTTTAGTCAGACTTTTTAGCAGACTATCATGATTTACATTTACCTCTAGCTCATAGTTATACCACATATTGATCCAGCCATATAGTTGGTTTGCTCGGTCGCATGCAGTCAGGCACCGAGTGCCGTGTTATGCCCAGGTCATAGTTCGGGGCGTGACACACAGGCAGTTTAAGGAGGCATATAAAGAATTGTCTTGAGCGTCCTCCGGAAATTCGTATTTAAGTTGATTTGAGACAATTTGTGTTATTTTAAAATTAGACGTATTTATGCTTAATATTTTAGTTTGTTAGATTAATTTGAAGTATTATTATGCATGAAAATTTAGTTTTACTCTTTTTCCGTTAATTTACTTGTTAAATGCAAACTTTAATTTTGTAATTTTGAAATAAATGTAACACTTGCAATTTATAAGTGCAATTTTTTCCCATCTTCATTGTATTCTTTATATTTTTACTTTATATTAATATAACTTACAATAGTTATACAAAATACAAAAAAAAAAAATTAAAAATTACACTAACCCGGCCCGTCCCGACCCCTTGTACCCGTAACCCTTACGGTTCATTTTTTACCCGGATGAACCCAAACATGTTAAACCCGGTAAGTCCCAACCCGTAATCGGCCCGGACCCCAACCCGTACGGTTCCTGAATTTTCCTACCCAGCCCGGCCCGGGCCACCCGTTAGACACCCATAGTAAAAATAGCACGGGCTAGCCAGTTTCGGACTAATCATTCAAAAATACCCAGCGTTTGCAAAGTCATTAAAAAATAGACACTATTTTGCTGCAACACGGAAAGTTCCAGCATAATATACTGGAGATTGGTGCACCTGTGTATGAAATTCCAGTATATTATGCTGGAACTCCAACACGCGAAAAGTTCCAGTATAATATACTAGAGATTGGAGCATCGGTGCTCCAATCTCCGCTATATTATGCTGGACCGGTATATTATACTGAAAATTTAAACCTTCTAAAACTAAAAAGAGTCGACGGATTCTTTTAGTTTTCTCGGGCACCAAGGAACTCCAGTATAGAATTCCAGTATATTACACTGGAGTATTTTTTGGGATTTTAAACAGTGTATTCGTTAGATTTATCTTTACATGAAAAGTGGCTAAATTTCGATTACTTTTAAAACTGTGGCTATTTTTGAATGACCACTTGTAAATGTGGCTATTTTTTGAATTTCTCCCATCTTGTTGTGGTTATGTTCTTTAATTCTGTTTGTAAAACATACCTCTAATTTATCTATATAATAACTGTTACTTTTTATTATTATTAATGGAATTTCTTCATATTCCAAAATAATAAATTTATAACTTATTGCTACTCCCACCCAACCGCTTAAACCAAAATTAGATGGCGCATGCATAATATATGTATAATTCATGTATAATATATGTATAATCATATATGATCAGTGTATAATTTATGTATATCAATTAGAAAAAGTAAACATTGAATTCGACCGGCTATTTGTGTAAGATCCCCAAAGAGAGGTCTTCCGAGGCGGAAGCTATTTTTTCAAGTAGAAATAGAACTTGAAGGGAATAAATAAATAAAATAAGAAGATTAGCCATCAAAATAAAACATTATAATCACACCAACGACGATTAGTGTCTCGATCCAAACAAGTTGGTGTCGTTACATAAATCCTCGGTGACCACAAAAGTTCTGTAAAATTTTCTAAGCGAATACATGTAATAACGATGAAAGAATGAATGGTACCCCTGTAGCGTCCAAGTAATAATGCTGTAATCCTATTCTTACAACTGAGCAGGGGTGTGCATTCGATTTATCAATTCGATTTTGACCCTTATCGATAATTACTTATTGATTATCGATTTGTACATATGCTTATCGTTATCGTTTCAATAAGGTTTCGATTTTTTCGATTTCGATTTATCGATTTTGGGGGCTTATCGATTCGGTTATCGATTACACCAATAAGAAAATTTGCGGGATTCCACGAAAAGTATATCGCTATAAACGCGCCTAACTAATATGGACAAAAAGAAGATAAAATAAGACGAACACCATTTATAATATAAAAATTGTGTCAACAAGCACATGTAACAAAAATAAAGTAAGGGATCAAATGTATGCCACCAACACTCCAACGGTATAAAAAAAACAAAACAAAATAAAACACATCATCACGGCTAATTCTGTTTTCCATTAATTTGAACTTCATTCCCTTGATCTGTAAATATGATCATTCCTTAAATGTGGTAGAGGAAATAGTAGGGTAAGGGACTTAGGGTAAAGGAAATGGTATAGATTAGGGAAAATAATATTGTATAGGCGCTTTCAAAATAGTAGCGGAATATATATACATTCTGTATGTTATATTAATCTACACAAATAGGTAATTACTCATTTAACATGTGTCTACAGTCTAGGGGTGTGCATTCGAGTTATCGATTCAATTTTGACCTTTATCGATAATTACTTATCGATTATCGATTTGTGCATATGCTTATCGTTATCGTTTCAATAAGGTTTCGATTTTTTCGATTTCGATAACAAATAATCGATTCGATTTATCGATAAACCGATTCGAATGCACACCCCTACAACTGAGGAGTAGTAAGGTAAGGTCTCGTCCCTCTTGTACTTTTTCTTTTGAGTTTTAACAAACGGGTATGGGACAATGCCAAACTTTCCATTATCACAAGAGGTGAAAGTCTGAATGGACGAATTTAATTTGAAAAAATATACAACTATTAACGGCGTGAATAATTTTATACTATAAGTACATTTTAAGTTGCCATAGAATGTACATTTTATGGCAACTTAAAATGTACATTCTATGGCTGTTTGCGCAAATTTTAACTGCAAGTACATTTTATACATTAAAGGACTTTTTTCAAGGAGAAATTCAAAAATAGCCAGATTTACAAGTGGTCATTCAAAAATAGCCACAGTTTCAAAAGTTATCGAAATTTATCCACTTTTTATGTAAAGATAAATCTGAACGAAAACACTGTTCAAAATCCGAAAAATACTCCAGCATAATATATTGGAATTCCGGTATAATATACTGGACTGGAGTTTCATTATACTGGAGTTCCAGCAAAGTATACTGCAACTCCAGTATATTATACTGGAGCCAGCAAAGTATACCGGTCCAACATAATATGCTGGAAGTTCATACACATGTGCACCGAACTCCAGTATATTATGCTGGACCAGTCTCTGTTGCAGCAAAATAGTAGCTATTTTTTAATGACTTGGCAAAGGCTGACTATTTTTGAATGACCAGCCCGAAAACTGGCTAGCCCGTGCGATTTTAACCTTTTTTCACTTTAGGCCCCCGCGCGCCAGAAACTATTTACATTTGGTAGCTGAAAAAGTATGTAAAAATTTGTATAATTTATGTTTATTAAATGCAGAATGATTTATGTAAAAATTTGTATAATTTTATATAATTTATGTATGTGTATATATATATATATATATATATATATATATATATATATATATATATATATATATATATATATATTATTGGCTATTATTTTGAGAGCGGCTATACAGTTTCATTTTCCCTACATTTAATCATGAGATTTTTCTTTTCTACACCATATATGAAACTTTATTACCAAATATGTGCATAGTTTCTAATTTACCCGCCATGTCCACACTTTTTCTACAATTATTATACCATTCATTAAATACTAATTATTAGTAGCTGAATCTTCCTAATTAGGCGCGCTAAAATTCAGTAACAGAATATTCTAATCGATTTAGCGACCTTCAGATCAAATTTGAAACGGAAATCCTTTATCTTCAATTTAAAATCAAATTATATAGACTCTTTTCTGCAAAAACTCTGTTCTTCGATATTTTCTCTTAAGCCACAAATCAAAAGCTCAGTTGGTCGAAATCAGAAGCTCAACTTCAAATTATAGAAATCAGTTCTGCAAAAGCTCAGTTCGTCGACTTTTTTCCTCAATCCACTAATCAAAAAAGCGACAAAAACATTCAACAAATTCAAGTCAAATTGTAGAAATCAATTCTGCCAATTCTCTGTTCTTCGTCTTTTTTTCTTAATCTAAAAAAATCAAAAAAGCGACAAAATATTGAACAGTACCTCAGCAACGACATGCAATCATGTCCAAAATCCCATTCATGCTACATTTTAATGGGAATTGGGATAGCTATGGCAGATTTAGAGATTTTCAAGTTGATGGCATTGTGCTCGATGAGGATGCAAGTTACAGTATGTTGATTTCTACAATTGCAGAGCAATTAATGATTGATACTTCGGAAAAAATTGTAGAAATCAAAATACATTGTGAATGAGAATTGTCCTCCAATGGAGATTAGGAACAATATGGGGGTTCGTGTGTATATGGAGACAAAAAAGGAGAATAAAAACTTAGGATCGTATCCGTTACTTATAAGTGTACGAGATTTCAATATGGAATTGACTATTACAAATGAGAACACAAGTGCAGGTTTGTTATGTTTCAAATTCTATGGAAGTCTGATTTTACAGTAATATCTATAAAATTCCTACATTTATCTACAAATAAACTACACATCACTTTTAGGATGTATAAAGCAATATTGTTTTCATGCTTATCAACAAAATTACTACATTTATACTACAATTAAACTACAATCCATGTTGAAAAAATATTGACTACAAAATTTTCTCTTCATCTACAATTTATCTACAAAGATTCTACAAAATTGTAATGACACTGTTTATCTTTATTTTCATGCAGGTTCGTCTGGGACAATACAGTTACTTGATATGCCAGCCTCTCCCGTCATAGAGGAATATCAAAGTGAAATAATAACTGAAGGTACACAAAGTGTTATCGAAGAAGGACAAGTGTATCAAGACAAGCAAACAATTGCAACTGCAATGAGGCACTATTCTGTCATGCACAAGTTCCAATTCAGGGTTGAAAGATCTAGCCACAGAAGGTATGAAGATATTAATGGTGAAAAGATCATTATAAACAGTATTTTCCTTGTGATATGTAGATGAAAAGTAGTTATATTGTATAGTGTGTTACTTTATGTTAAAACAGTCCTTTTGTTACATCTACATTGATAACCTGTATTATAAATGTATTTTTTTGTAGCTACTGGCTTATATGCGTTGCAGAAAACTGTAATTGGCACTTCAAGGCAACATCAATTAATGATTCTGCAATGTTCAAGATCAGAAGTTTCAACCGACAACACACATGCACCTTAATGGACGATACATTCATACAGCGCAAACATACTGCAGTTGTAGTTGGTAGCATGGTCATGCCAAAGTATTGTGATCCTAAGACAGTTTACACACCAAAGGACATACAAACTGACATGTTGTCCCAACACGGAGTGAACCTAAGCTACATGCAAGCATGTAGAGCAAAGGAAAAGGCTTTACAGTTATTGAGAGGTCATCCGGCTGACTCCTACAACAAATTACCAAAATATTTTTATATTCCTGAGAAGACGTATCCTGGTTCAGTTGTTAAAATTGAAGAAGACAACATATGAATGCTTCTTATATGCATTTGTTGCTCTTTGTACATCAATAAGTGGTTGGGGATATTGTAGACCAGTAGTAGTGGTTGATGGGACATTCTTAAAGATAGCCTACAGGGGGATTATGCTGACAACAAGCACAATGGATGCAGCAGGTAAAATTGTAGTTATTTTGTAGGCAGTTTATAAATTGTAGATACATTGTAGATACTTTGTAGATATATTGTAGTTTATATGTATTTGTATTTTTATATGCATTTTCAAAGCTGCCAGTTAATTATTTTTTTACTAATAATGTAGGTACAATATTGCCTTTGGCATATGCTATGGTTGATTCGGAAAACGACGCATCGTGGAAGTGTTTTTTTGAGCAATTCAAGCAATCATATGGTGAAAGAACTTCAATGTGTGTTGTTTCAGATAGGAATGAGAGTATCCTGAAGGCAACATCAATTGTCTATCCGGGCGTGCCACACTACTCTTGCATGTGCCATATTTGGACAAATATAAGGGCAAAGTTCAAGAAGGGTCATCTACAATTAAATGAATTGTACTTTGCTACAGCAGGGTCATACACTCTGGATGAATTTAATGAAAGGATGTCGAAGATTGAAGAGATAGACCCGCGTGTTAAATCATACCTCTATGATATTGGCTATCATAGATGGTCAAGAGTACATGCAACGGTGAATAGAACTTGGACTATGACATTAAACATTCCAGAGTCGTTGAATGCTGTAACAAAAGATGCAAGAGAGCTGCCAATATTTGACCTATTAGAGTATATGAGGACACTTCTTGAACGTTGGACGAAAGAAAAGTTATTGAAGGAAAAGGGTACTTTCACATACTTTGGGTACAAATTCAACAAAGAATTGGAGAAAAACAGTACATTATCTCAGAAACTTAGGGTAAGATCTATTTATTTGGTGCAGAAAAATAATATTTTAATATATAGTATTTCCAGATTGTAGATAAATTATAGACAAATTTAGTTAATTTGTAGATAAATTATAGATAAGTTGTAAATAAATTGTAGATAATGTATTTTTATGATTGTAAATATTTTTCTTTCTGTTTGTTATGTAATTGTAGGTGAGGGCTTCAACAGATCATATTCATACTGTGATAGATGGTGTGAAGCGGTACATTGAGTGTCTTGAAAGCAAGAAATGTACTTGTGGCCAGTTCCAACTTGATGAACTTCTATGTGCGCATGCTTTGGCAGCTTTAATGCACAGGAATGAAACTTATGAAAACTATTGCTCTCCGTATTACACAAGGGAGAGCCTACTGGGTACATATGAAATACCAGTAAATCCCCTTCCTGATGAAAGCAAATGGAATGTGACACCACATATATCTGATGAAGTAGTAAATCCACCTACGGGAGAGAAAAAGCAGCCAGGAAGACCTCAAAAGGAAAGATACAAAACATATGATGAACTAAAGTCAAAGAAGTACAAGGTGTCATGTGAAAACCGTGGAGGTGAAGGGCATAACAAAAGATCTTGCAAGAATGCACACCCCAAAAAAAATATCATGTAGTTAGAATAGTATTTCAAAATAATTGTTAGTGTGTTCAAGTTAACAGAATTTTGTGTGTAATCGTTTAAGTTTTTAAAGATCATAATGTAGTTAACTTCAATTTTTTTCTGTGTTTGTTAACATGTTTTTCTGTATTGTGTCAAGCATCTACCTCCATTTTTTACATTTTGTACATAGCAGTTAATATTTATTATCTACAATATAACTACAAGTTTAAAAAAATTAATTTAACTTGAACTGGCAGTTATATACAGAAATTAAATACAACTGGAGGTAAATCCCTACAAATTATATACATATTAAACTATAAAATTATATACAATCTCAACATTCAGTGTTTCCAGATTGTAGATAATTTGAAGTTTTTTTGTAGATAATTTGTATTCTGACAACATAATAACTACGTTTAAGATAATGAAGAACAAGTGCTGTAAATATTAAACAACTGGAGATAAAACCACCAAGTTATTTCAAGTGAACTACTAAACTAGATGGAAATTAACAAAATAAAAGGTCTGCTACAATAAAAACACAAAGGAATTGTTCAGAAAGTTGTGTACTATACTTATCCTACAAACTAGCATCAACTAAATTACATATACATGACACTACTTCTTCTTTCTCTGTACTCTTGTTTTCTCATTCAATGCAGGTGCACCCTTCCTCCTTGCTAGTCTGCCTGTAACCTCACTTTCACTGATTGACCCATCTTCCTGCTTCTTTGTAGCATAGTCCCATAGGAGCGCTCCATAAAGTCTACGATGTTGGTCAATATCAGAAAGGTCTTCTGTGGGAATTGACAAATCTCCAAGGCTAACATACTCCGCAAAGGCAGCAACAAATACACCACAATCGCTGCAGAATACAAAATTTAAAAAATATTTACCAAATGATTAGAAATAAAAAAAAGAATTAAATGCATAGAAAGAGAGAATAGATTTTTTTACAGTGACCCTTCTTTTTGCTGTGGAATCTCTCCAATGATCCATTGAATGTTAAGAGGGTCGGTAACTGGTTTTTCGATGTATGCCTTTATAGTCTTGAAGTTAATGTCTTTACGCTTCCCATAGAAATCAGTGCATGACAAATACAAAGGTATAATAACAGAAAACTTTTCGACACAGGATTCAACAACTTGATGGTTGTGTGAAGAGACCATGGAATCATACGCATAAAGTTGCCTGTCTGCAATGTCGAAAACAACCAACACCTAATGGAATTTTTCTACAATATTGACGATCATGATCATATAGTCAACTTCATCCCATGCAACATTGGCAAGTAATCTATACCCAAAAATATATTCTGCAACAATATCTTGGGGTTTAACAACAGAATACTTCTTTTCTGGAGGTGAATTTATGAACTTTTCATAAATTTGTTCTATCCTGGTCTTGAACACACAATCCGTTGTGGTAAACCTAGTCGTGTTATTGGGGCCATACTTGCCTCTTTTCCTCAAGTAATATATTAAAATAATAATGTGCTGCAACCAAAAATAGTTGGCATATAAGCAGCAAGTCAACTTCAAATAATCTACATAAAACTACATTATAACTACAATTAACTATAAAAAATCTACAATGATGTCTAAGAACAGCTCTACAATTTAAACTACAAAACATCATTTAGAATTATGTCTACATCATATCTACAATTTATACAACAAGTCATCTTCATATATTATAGGTATCTATAACATAAATACAATTAAACTACAAAACAGAAGGCAAAATATCTACAAATCATATCTTGGAAATAGACTCCTTGATACTTACTGAGTCATTGAGGACTTGACCGGGGTGAGCCAGGGAAAAGAACCATTCCTTCTTATCAACATTTTCCACTCCAAGGTAACCAAGGCTTAATTTGGTTATCCTTTATGGAAAACGGAGCCTTCCTCCTGTGACAACAAACAAATGTCAGAAAAAAATTGTAGATTGAATTAGATATGTAAAAGTTAAATGCTGAAATGCAAGTGTCAAATTATGCATTCATACCTCTTTGAACATTTGTCACTAGAGTGGTATAACCACTTGTTGAAGTTCTCTAAAATATCCGGATTTACATTTTTACCAATAACAGTAGCAAAAGGGTGCTTGAGATAGAAAATTTTAGGTCCAACCGAGCTGCTGCCCCCAGAACTGTATAGAGGGATAAATGGTGATCGGGCATGCTTTCCCGGATGCGTTGTTCTCCCCGGATGCATAGGTGTTGCATCATCTTGTATGGGCTCGCCAAACTTAACCAACTGGGATAAGTTGTCAGGCAACTCAAAATCATCTAGTGTGAACCCATTCTTCTCAACTCATGATCCTTCTGAATAACCTAGATCCACTTCATTGTCATCTTTCTCAATGACCTGCTCGGTCTGAGCTGCTACTGTCACTCCGTGAATTGGGGACTGTGCATTGATATCTTCCATCACTGTAACACAATTCATATCTTACTTAACAAGAATGTTGAAATTTATAAACAACAAGAAAATATCTCTGAATGACAGTATGATACCTGCTTTGTCTTCATCAGCTGCAACTTGAAAATGTGTATATAAATCACCATGTGATGGAAGATTTTCTTGACCAACTGCACCTTCAAAATGTTCTGTTTTATAATTAAAAATGGTAAATAATACTGGATAATGTGTCACGACCCAAGAATCCCTCAGAAGGAGTGTGATCACCTGTCTCTAAACTAGGTAAGCCTAACATTTACTGAAATAACATTGATATTTATTAACTTCAAATAAACTTTCTCTAAACAACTTACAATTCCCAAAACCGGTAGTACAAGTCATAAGCTTTTCTAAGAGTAGTTATACAAAATAAATACATCACTGTTCCGAACAAAAGAAATATATGAAAATAAGTACAATTGAAGATGACTCCGAGGACCGCGAACGCTGCTGTAGGCTTACCTTGAGTCTCCACCGCAACGAACAACTACTATCGATCAAATACCTGGGTCTGTACACAAAAATGTACAGAAGTGTAGTGTCAGCACAACCAACCCCATGTGCTGGTAAGTGCCTAGCCTAACCTCGGCGAAGTAGTGACGAGGCTAGGACCAGACTACCAAATAAACATGTGCAACATAGCGTACAAAATAATAGGAAGCAGATAACAATGATGGCAACAATGATCAACCAGTGATATATAAATAGCAGGCAACAAGAACACCATAAATGCATTTCAACAAATAATAAATACAAGTGCAATCAATTAATCGAGTCCTTCAAATATAAATGTTTCGCCTATAAATCCTTCAAGTAATAACCTCTAAGATAATATGCTTTTCAATAAATATATTTCCTTCAAATAAGTATCTTACAAGTACGCATCTTTCGAATATAATTCTTTCGAGTAAAGGTCACCTTGTGACGCCTCATTTCATAATCATAAATAATATAGGTCTCAGCCCACTTTCATATTTTTACGGCACCTCGTGCCCACATATTTCTGTCTCATATTGCACATCAAT